AAAGAGCAGGATGTGTTTACAGGAACAGGGAAGAGAGATGGAGGGGGGAAGTCTCAGTTGCCAATCCCAAACTGAATTTCTAGGAATTTCTGCTATATTTCGACTGCTGATCAGGACTCTCTCCTCTCACCATTTACTGCCTTAGCAGACTCTCTTTTAGACTTCAGTGTGTGTCACTGACAGGATAAATGGTCACCCTAGGTTGAATACAGAAGAAAACATGATCTGGGTACCTTCCGCCAACTTTCCAGTGTATGTTTGACTTTCACTGTTCTCTTTTTTACCTCAGCACTGCTGAGGAGGATATTTTATGCCTCAGGTTCCCTTTCTATCCTCACTCGCCTCACTGCCCTGAGGAAAGAAGCTTCCTGTTATGTGGAGTGGGGTGGAGGAAAGACCAGAATTTTTAGCAGCACCTAGAGACTACTGCTAAATAAATAACAGACTCTTAAATTAGAATTTTAATTAGGTGATGCAATATTAAATCTGTTTACTTGGATATGAATGTTATTGGTATTAGCAATACATTCCTTTGAGTAAATAGGTTTCGGATTGGAGTGTTTATTTGATTTTGATGCTGGCTTTGTTTGGAAATGTTTAATGCACAAGATGGAGCTTTGCCCTTTAAGAATCTCCTTGGCTCCTTCTTCTTACCTACTTGCAGTATTTGTTTTTCTGGTGACATCGCTGATTGACTTAACCATAAAAAACCCCATATCCATGGCTAAGTAATAACTGTCTCCATTTGCCATCTGCATTCCTTTTACCAGTCAGCCCACACCATATCATCTTGTGGTAGAAAAAATGTGACCTCATTACTACATGGCTTTCCCCCCTCCTTTTCTCTTTTTTAACTAATTTGCTGTCGCTGGAGAATCGTCAGCCCATTAAATTCTGTCATTCGGTTGGATTTCATAGACTTCACGTCTGAAAACCCTCTTCCTGAATGCCGTGGTGGACTCTCCATTTATGAAGGATTTGAATCAGCGAAAGAGGTGCTTGGTGAGACATTTGATGAGGTGGTACAGTGAAATGACAATGCCGTCGACTCTGTTCTTGAGAATAGCTTTTTCCAAGTACGTTAAAAAGGTTGCCACAAAGAAGGCTAGATTGTCTTTGCCACTTGCAGGCATGGGGGATAGTGGAGACCATAGTTCCCTCTAAGCTGAGTTGGTGTGAGCTAGCTCACAGATTTTTAGCACACATTTTTGTCTTAGCTCAGAAAGGAGGGCTCCAGAGGAGACTAATTTATGCAGCAGCCAAATCGCTCACTCACAACTTTAATGCCAGTAGCTCACAAAGTAGAATTTCTGCTCACAAGGCTCCACAGCTTAGAGGGAACATTGGTGGAGACAATGGATTTCAACTGAAATAGCTAACTAGCTATTGGCAGGAGGGGCTTTAAGCAGAGGACCTCCAGAGCCGCTGCCCCAAGTCCCACACCAGGGGGGGGGCTCATACTGTAAATGCAATCAGCTGGCTTAAAGCCCCCAGCATCATGGAGTTGTGGCGGCAGCAGCAGGTTAGGGTTACCAGCTCCAGATTGGGAAATTCCTGGAGATTTGGGGGTGGAGACTGGAGAGGGCAGGGTTTGGGGCGGGGAGGGATCTCTATATGATATAATGCCATAGAGTTCCCCCTCCAAAGCAGCCATTTTCTCCAGGGGGACTGATCTGAGTCATCTGGAGATCTGTTGACATTCTGGGGAATTCCCAGGCCCCACCTGAGGGCTGGCAGGCCTACAGCGGGGTAAATAATGGAGTGTGGAGCGGATCAGTGTAGGAGAAAAAGAAGAACGGTAGGTTTCTCTACCTAAGGAATCTCAAAGCGGCTTCCAATTGCCTTCCCTTCCTCTCTCCACAACAGGCAACTTTGTGAGGTAGGTGGGGATGAGAGAGTCCTGAGAAAACGGTGACAGACTCAAGGTCAACTAGCAGGCTTCCTGTGGAAGAGGAGGGAATCAAACCTGGGTTTCTGGATTAGAGTCCGCCGCTCTTAACCACTACACCATGCTGGCGCCCATGCTGGCGCCCATGCTGGCGCCCATGCTGGCGCCCATGCTGGCGCCCATGCTGGCTGGTAGGGTGGGTGTGGGGGGGGAGCCCCTTGCTAACAGGCTGGGTTGTATAGGCAGGAGGCATTCAGGTGGCTGAGCCCCTCACAAGAGAGACTTTGAACCAGCTGAGCTCCTAGCTGACACTGTGGGTAGAAAGCACCACTGCCAGCCTAGTGAAGCTTCAAGCTTTCCCCCTCGGAGGGTACCTGGCCAATGCAGGGCTGGACAGGCAGGCGAGGGGTGGTGGCTTTCTCTCTCTCTGTTTCCTTGGGGGGGGGAAGCACTCTCCCACAGTGATTTGGTGGCCCAGTCCTTGAATTTTCCCTGGGACCCCAAAATCTCTAAGACCGCTCCTGAATATTGGACATTCTTAACAGTGTAGCATTTCAGTGTACCGGGTCCCTCTGTTGCTGACTGGAAAGTTGCCGTTCTTCAAGAAGAATGGCCAGCTTGAGACATGATGAAGCTGAGGAAGGGTTGCCATCCTCCAGGTGGCAGCTGGAGATCTCCTGCTATTACAGTTGGTCTCCAGACAACAGAGATCAGCTCCCCGGGAGAAAATGGGTGCTTTGGAGGGTGGGCTCGTTGGCATAATGGTCTGCCAATCTCCTTCCCCTCCCCAGATTCCACCCTCTCCAGACTCCACCCCCCAAATCTCCAGGAATTTCCCAACCCAGAGCTGGCAACCCTAACCTGAGGGTATGAATACTTAAATTAATATGATAAACAAAGGAACTTCAAATGGAGGCTACCAGTGCAGTCTTCTAAGCAGAGTTATACTCTTCTAAGCCTGATGACTTCATGGGACAGAGAAGAGTCAAACTTTGTTTAGTCTTGCACTGTATGGCACTAAATGTCTGAATTACGACTGATCAGTAGGGTAAATTCTATTAACCAGGGTCTAGATAGAGATGAAGCATTTCTCTCATAGTTATGGATGTTCAGTAAATGTAGCACAGCTTTAGGGAGATTATGTTCTCACCGACTACAGCTGCTGTGAATGATCACTTTTTTGCTTTGCATAGACTGTACCTTGTGCGTTTCAGGTCCTTTTTACTCCACTTTTTATAATTGCCCCTCATATCGTGTGTGTATATAAATCCGCTGACTTTACTGCATGCATCTCTAGGCCATGAAAGAATAAGATACGATAAAATAAATGTTATCACTCCTTGCACGTGAAGACGTGGGCTGTATTATACAAAAGTTTACACTGGAAAAAAATGTATTGGTCTTTAAGCTTCCACGGGATTCCTTTTCATTGAATATAGCCATGCTAGAATTATATAAGAATGGATTTACTCCCTGTCTCCCCAGGGATTTACTCCCTGTTTTTTTAACCACACATTATAAACCTTAGAGGGTTTTGCAAGGAGGGGAGTTTAAGCAAAGCTACAGGGCTTTTCTTTTCTTTTTTTAAAAAAAGAGCTGTCAGAACTCTTAAGAGGGAAATGAAGTTTTCAGTCTGTATACTGAAAACTCAGGAACTTTTAAACATTTTTAAAAGAATTCTGTCAAAGAGGTTCCAAAACTCCATTCCAGTGCGTTCCCCCAGAAAAAAAGCCCTGCAAAGCTGTATCTCCCTACTAAAATAGAGCAGTAATTGCAGTCAGTTTCCATTGCATGTCAGTGGTCCCATGCTGATTGACACCCGTCTGCTTCTGCAGGATCAACAGGTGTCATGAGAATCCCATGAATGGGACCTGTACCCGTCCGTGATGTATGCAGTTGTTGCTGGCCTGGGGCTTGGCACGGCTGGTCCTATATCTTGCTTCTAAGCTTCCTGAATAGCACATCTCTCCTTATATATAATTGAATAGTGGGTGCCAAAGTTCTAATTCTAAAATGCACTCCCTTAGTGTATGGCTGATGGCACTGCTCCTCAGCATATATCGCCACCAATCAGAAGGCAAAGCCCGGGTCCCGCCCACACCACAACTGCTGCGACAACCTGGTCTTTTGCATATGGAAGCTGATTGGACTTCAGTCCATTCCACACCTCAAACTCCCCCCCCCGCAAGGCAGTTGGGATTTTCAGTTGCATAACATACCTCATAGGGGAGAGGAGAATGGGTAACAATGGTTACCACTCTCCAGGTGAGGGCTACAGATAACTCAAACATACAAATGCTCTTCAGGTAGCAGAGATCAGTCCCTCTGGAGAAAACAGTGGACTCTGTCATTAAACCCTGCTGAGGTCGCCACAGGAAACTGACACTGTTTGCCCAAAGCCAGAGCACTCTCCCAGAGCCTCTTTCTAGATCCCGTTGTATTTATTTCCGCAACGGGCATTATTTCTAGTCTGTTAATATTCTGATGGTAGCAGCCGCCGATATTTTCATCCAAGCCAACTGAATGAGACTCTGCTGGGCTCCAGCCATGTAAATTTATTCGAGATAATGGGTCCTGTGCTTTTAAGGGACAGCTCTTTGCTGGAGACTGTTCCAGTGTGCCGAGAGCTCTTGTGTGTGTGCAATTCTGTATAAGCGAGAGACCGCAGTGTCAGGGTGCCTTCTGTGTAATACGGCTCTGTCTGACAGGTAATTTCTGTGATGGAGCTCCACGCTTTCCATTAAAGTCTCACGGTCCTGTGGTTATGCTGACCTTTAATTCTGGCACCGCAACAGTGATGAAAGGATTTGTTCTTGCCTACAGAATCCATGAAATTCAGCACAGTAAGTAAGGTTTTGCGGGACGGCTTGGCAGCATCTAGATTAAGCCCAATGGAAAGAACTGTAGGAGGAAATAAGTAATAACTTTCTCTGACAAACAGGGCTATTTTTGGGCAGTAACGCACAGGAACAGAGTTCCGGTTGGCTCCTGAGTTGGCCACACCCAGCAGGAACTCATTAGCATAATAGGCCACACCCAACAGCAGAGACTCATTAGGATTGGCTACATTAGGGGTGTGTGGCCTAACATGCAAAGGAGTTCCTGCTACAAAAAAAGCCCTGGGTTTTGACAACAAATAAGGTAAACAGAACAAATGAGGCTCCCCCCGCCACAGGGACCCCTATATATGTGTACCCCAAAAGAGACCCTCTGACTTATCCGCCAGATGTCTGGATAAAATGTTCCAGTTCGATATCAAAGGAGGGGCCCCTGAACCAGCAGGGGGTTTTGTTGAACGCTCTCATGGGGAATGCTGGAACGGTCCGTAGAGGACATGGATTAAAAGTCTCTTTGTCCTCCTGTGCACCCAAAAGTAAAATTGGAGTCCAGTAGCACCTTAAGAGACCAACAAGATTTTCGAGGTATAAGCTTTCAAGAGTCAACGCTCTCTTTGTCAGACCTTTGACTCTCAAAAGCTCAAAATGACTGAATATGCAGCAATGGCAAGATTAACGAAGTAGATAAATTAAAAAAACAAAGAATTTGAGGGAAAATGGAATGCCTATTATGCCTGCCTTAGATAAACCTTGCAGAGAGAAGATATAAGCTACTATCAAATTGGGTCTGAGTTGTAAGAAGTAACTAAAATATTGCTGCTAATTTGCTAGAGAAATCTGTATTTGTCAATATATTCAATATTCCATACATGTTTATTTCGTTCGAGAGGCTTACTCCTTCAGGACGCTCCCATCTGTAGAGATTGCGGGCTTATTTTAAACAAAACTTTAAAATCATTTAAGAATCTATATGGTTTAATTTAGAAGAATGCAGTATGAATGTTACGTTAAGGTTATAGGTTTTAAATTTGAAGACTACAGAACCATTCGTTTTAATTTATAAATGGGCATATAGTGTATGGAAATATAATCAAATCTCTTCCTATTTTTGTTGTAGCTACAATAAGAATAGGAAAAAAGTGAAGAATGGAAATATTCTTGAATAAGTTTACATTTGACATATATGCTTTATATATTATATATTATCTATATACCTTTGGAAGTCCTTGATAACTGTAAAAATTGAAAATCTTTTTCAATCTTTAAAACACACACACACACTTATACGCTGAAAATCTTGTTGATCTAATGTGCTACTGAACTCCAGTCTAATTGTTCTACTGCAGACCAACATGACTACACTTTGAAACCCAACAATAATTGATTAAAGTTGGTTGAGGCTATAGAACCCTTCTCACTGTACAGCCTACCCAGGTACTCTGATCCTGACTCCAGGAAAATATCATCAAACTGCTGCTCAGACTTTATTGAACCAACCCAGGTCGGTCCACTCCCCCTGTAACTCAATTACTCTGCTTAAATCATCCCAGTGCCTGTCTAGATAGGCACCATTCAGCCCTTCAGCCTTCCCCTCCAGTTTTGTAGTTGGTTCTGCTCCCAGGATGCCCTCGTTGATATTGTGGTGGGCTTATTTCCCAGACCTTCATTCCTTCCCTGAATCACTGAATCCCTTGCCTTGAACTCCAGCTTAGGCTTCCCAACCTCCAGGTGGGATCTGGAGATCTCCCAGAAACATAACTAATCTCCACACTACAGAGATTAGTCCCTCTGGAGAAAATGACTTCTTTGGTGGATGACCTCTGTGGCATTAAACCCTGATGAGGTCCCTTCTCTTCTCAAACATCACCCTCCCCAGCCTCTATCCCCAAATCTCCAAGAAGAGCTGGCAATTCTACCCCAACTTCATCGTTGGTTTCAGTTTAGACTTTTCCTTCACCTTGGGAATATTCTGCCCTAGACTTTCTTCCTTCCACCCCAGACCTCAACTCAATGGACTATTCCCTTCAGGATAAGGCAAGTGATGTTCTTTCTTTCACCATTTAGATGAAACAGGTTCCCTATTAACCCCCAATTATGCAATAACCAAGGACACCACTGATTGGGTTGTGTTGCTATACTGCAATGTCATTTGATGCGTTCGCTCTCTATTTCATTCTGTCTTTCTAGTCTTGTATCTTCTTATGGGAATAAAGATAGGTTCACTTGAAATTTTCTGTCTCATTTCCCTTCTCAGTTGGAGTGCTATATCAAATTGGGACCCAGGTATACAGTGAACTGTTCAGTCCCAACATAACTGCCCCAGTGACACGGTTTGACCCTACACTTTGTATGTCATGGGTCTGGCACCACATGTGCTGATCAGAGCAGGGGTCATTTCATAGAAAAAGAGGCGCAGGAGCTCATTAGCATAACTCATTAGCATAACTTATTTGCATATGCCACACCCCCTGAGATCACCGGAAGTGTGTCAGAAGGCAACACTCACTGCACAGGCTCCACTGGACTGTTTTGGATTGCTAGCTATTGGGGGGGGGGCACACAGATCCTCATGCTCCTCGTGGCCCAGGGCTGCTGGGAGCAGGGGGTGGTGCTTGTTGCATGTGCCCGCCCCCTGGGCTCTTTACTCCCAGAGCTCTGCTCCTGTGCGCTCCTGCAGGAAATGACCCCTGGATCAGAGTAACATTTCCTTAAAGAATTACAGAAATGTACTACAAAACCACTAACAATGAATACAGCAGTCCCCAAACTATGTGCCATATAAAGTTAATTCAAGACTTGGGTAAGACCAAAATACTGAACAGCAGAGGAAGCTGCCCACTGTCTCCTCATGAGTCACTGTTCTATGCTCAACTCCTTTGAGTTTAGGGAAAACATCTGGATCGCAAAGAAGCACAGAGGGCAGACTCTGCTGTGGAAGGATAATTGTGTTTAAACAATTGTAATAGAGAACCTGTTTGCAGTATATGAATGTGCGTCTCCAATATTAATTCAGAAAATAGCTGTGCCACCTCTGCTGGAAATTTAGGGGAAACTGAGTTAATACTTGTAGTGTAGCTTATACACTACAAAACATTTACTGATGATTCAAACCATGCCCATGGAGCAAAACAAATACCTCGGCATTTTTCTACACTATAGTGTACCCTGTTTTTTCTTCTTTTTTTTAACATGCGAGTAATATGTTTTGTTGGAAAGCACATACTTAGTGAAGTAGCTTCAACTGTGCAGTGAACAGATTCTTGAGATGGAGGCTTGTCCTTTCTAGCCCTTTGTGTTTCAGTTGCACCAGATCATCTTACACTGAGTCTACAGTATATTAGTTGTGGCTGCTTATCTAGTGTAAGTTTGTGAGAGGAGAATTTCCTTGATATCTAACTTTTCAAGCATATAATATACACGTGCTGGCTCATCAGCCCTTAATTATCTCAGAAATCTAACTCTTTGTCCTCACATTTTTTCCTTCTTCTGTAAGGTCCAGTCCTAAACAGAACAAGAGACACTGATAAAGGTAAGAACAGATCTTTCCTCGTGTGTGTGTGTATGCATGTGTTACTAGGAAAATGGGAGTATCCAAATGGAAATCATTTTCTAAGAAGGCTAAGCATGTCTTGCATCGCGCAGAGTGGGTAATCAGCCAGTCCTTAACCACAATCGCAGTCAGAAATCTCTGCTTCTTAAAAGTAACCTTTAATGTTCTTTGTTCATCCAGCTTGAGTGGCACTCTAGAATACAATGGACGTTTTCTGGCTTCAATTTCTGCCACTAACATTCTGGGACGGGGACTCAGAACGTACCAAGAGTCCCATTTCCTTTTGGAAGCATGTTGTGGGTTTTGTCTAGTTACTCACCAGAAACCCCCAGGAGACTGAGTTGCTTTGGCTGTCTGTGACAAACGCATGGATGAACAAGGCATGCTGTTCAGTTGTATGCATCTTTTGCAAAAGCAACCTTGTGTATTGGCCTGGGTGACTCCATCTTTGCTATATGTTAGTGCTTAGTTGCCCTGAGTCTTGGGAGAGGACAGTGTCAGCTGCTCTCAGGGGATTTTTCTCTCTCTCATGCTTGTTCTCTTCCAGGCCGCCTGGGCTGTTTCTTCCCCCCCCACTGGAAGCCAGGCATAAGATGGCCTGGCTCATCCAAGTGTTTGGAATAGTTCGATTAATCATTGACTCACACCCAACATTTTGGGCAACCCTATAGCTAGAGAGATTTCTGCAGAGGGGCACTGCCCCCATATGCTGATGTCACTTCCGGGTCCCAGGAGAGAGCGGAGGATGACGTCCACAACCTGGAGGGGGACCAACTGTCTCCCGAAATCCTGTCCGCGCCTGCAGTTACTGGTGCTGCAACAGCACTTCAAGGGGGAAATGTGCACACATGAACCCAGCCTGGAAAGCCAGCAGAGGAAGGCAGGAGGAAGACACCAGCCTGAGGTCTAAGGAGCCCCTGTGCCTGGCTGAGCTCTGTTTGCCCTGACCCAAGGCGAGGAGTTGCTCAGCGGGGCGCTTTGCAAGGAAGCAGCAGCATAATTGCTGCTGCTAATACCGCTAAGCTGGGGAAAGGCGTGGGCAATGGCAGGCAGCTCGCCTCGCTCTCTGGCTCTGACGGCTGGATCCCCTGTGCATGGGGTGAGGGCAGGGGCACCAGGGGGCAGGGCAGATTTGGGAGGGGGTGTCACCCCATGGCCCCCGTGGGCACTACAGGCCTGATTTATGGTATAAGATGTCTAGTTTTAGTTATGCGCTTGGTCTTGAGGCTCAACTCAAGTTTCATTCTGTGTGTGCGTGTCCTCAAGGGCAGCTGATGGAAGTTTAGCCTGCATCTTCGGTAGCTTTGATGCATTATTAAAGATCTCCTTGTAAGTAAATCCAGATCTCTCGCATTGTTTCTTTGGGAACTTCTAAGAACCTATGGAGCTCCTGGCCAGGGTCCATATAATGCCTTGGGAGGCTGTGAGTTTGAGGGGAGGAATGGCAAGGGGGAGGGGAGGGGGAGGCTCAAGCATGCCCTTACAGCCTCCTTTCTATTCAAAGCTGCCCCGATCAGCTGGTTTTCTGTCCAGTGGATTGTGGGAAGCAATTTTAGATGGCTGAAAGGGAGTGGGCGAAGCCGGCCAGCCTGCCTTTCCTCTGCTCAACAGTGTAGCCTCTTAAAGCTGCTTTTTAAACAAAACGAAATAGCAGGGAAAACTGCAAGTGCAAGCTTGTGTCTAGACTGGGTCAGTGATTCTACAGAGTAGGACCCTAGCCAGATTGCCCCTGATCTTAATCATGTGGGCTTTCCCCCCAGTGGAAGAAGTACTGGTATCTTGTTCCTTGCCCTTGGCTGCTTTTAAATCTCAGGCACCTTGGAGCATGGTGGCTGACCCCCTCAATGACAGTGCAGGGGAGATTAATACCTTTGTGGTCTCAAAGTGAAGAAATCTTTATGAGTTTGATAAGGCCAGAGCAAAGAGCAGGATGTGATCTCTGCTCCCCGAGGATTAGAGACAGGCCAACACGTGAAGATAGGGAGGAATTAGGCAGAGGAAGGAAGGTCTGTGGTGTCGATGAATTTCTCTATTAACACCTTCGTGAGTGAACGCCGCATGTGAGAAAGTTTGGGCCCCAAATATGATTGATCATATTGTGAGAAGGTAGAATTAGGGCTGCCAGTCTCCAGGTGGTGCCTGGAGATCTTCCAATATGACAAGTGATCTCCAGACAAGAGAGATTACTTCCCCTGGAGATAATGGTAGGTTCGGAGAGTGGATTCTATGGCATTGTACCCTGTTGAAGTCCATCCCCAGGCCACACACCCCAAATCTCCTGGTATTTCCCCACCCAGAGCTGGCAATCCTAGGAAGAATACGAAGACAACAAACACGATTATGAAATAATAAGTATTTCTGCCTCGCGATGGACGCCACCACAGCCCCAGCAACTTAAAGAATGTTCTCCCTTTCTGTCTCCTTAAGGATGTCCAATTCTGGATCTGATTCCAGTAGGAATTGCCGAGATCACTTCTCCTAATTACCCACATACCTACCCCAGTTTATTGACCTGCACTTGGACAGTTTATTCTGCTTCAGGGAAGAGGCTGAAAGCTGTGATCAAGGATCTTGAAACAGAGGATATACCAGGGACTGTGTCTGGGACTCCTTAAGAGCCCCCTGGCCTGGAACCCTTCACAAGGGCTCCGTGGGGGTGCCACTTGAGGTGGCACCCCTCCAAGCCGAGGGTGTGCTAGTCACCTCCTCGGACATCGAGGAGAGCGACCGCCATCGCCGATCCACCCACTGGAAGTCAGCTCCCAGCATTTTATGATTATCCTCAGGGCAGCCATTTTGTGTTGGTGTTTGCTCTCTGTTCTCAAAATTCTCAAAGTGCTGACATTGGAGACCCATGTGCTTCCAGAACATCTGATTCGTTCCCCAGCTAACAAGAGAATTGCAGTTTGAGATGTGGAGTGTCTGTGCATGTATGCTTATCTCATGGTTCTCTTGGATAATACCTGTAATGGATAGCATGTCTCTCATTTAACTGTCCTCACCATGCCTGTGTGATTTGTGAGACTTGGGGGGGAGATTTTTTCCTTTCCATTTTAAAAAATTAATTCAGAGCCTGAGGAAAGAGGCTATGATTCAGTGCCAGAGCCTATGCTTTGCGTGCAGAAGATCCCAGATTCAGTCCTTGGCATCTCCATCTGAGCGCAGACCTTGAGTAATAGATATTAGGAGAGACCTTTACTGCCAGGGAGCCACTGCCAGTCAGATTAGACAATGCTGAGCAGGATGGGACCTATCAGGCAGTTTTGTATATTCTTACATTTATCCTGTTGTGACACGTTTGC